CTGCAACCAGGAGTTTTAGGGCTTGGGGCAAAGTCGGTCACATGGGGGCGTCCAAGAGGAGGCAGATGGGAGGCAAGGAAGGGGCTGAGGTAGAAGGGGACATGGGAAGCCAAGCTTTCCTTAGGGAGTCCAGGATGGAGAAGTCTGGGGACTTACTGGGGAGAGAGGAGAACGCTCCAGGGAGTGCTTCCCAACTGGCCGTCAGGACATGCTGGCTGTGGGACACTGATGGTGGGGACCCTGTGACCTTTCCAACCTAGAATGAGGAGTAAACATGAGAACCACCAGGAGCCTCCAGGTGCCAGGACTCCCACAGGCTGAGTCTCAAGGTCTCCTCTCTAGAAGGGGTGGGGGGGATGGTGTCTGAGCCCCTCCTCTCGCAGGTGTGCAAGATCACACACACCTAAGAGGTTCCTCCAGGCAGGAGCAGCTGTAGACATAAAGAAGGGCCTGCAGCCGAGGAAAGGCAGAGGGGCACCCAACCGGGCTCCAATCAGAGGCCACACCCTTGGCCTGCGAGCTCCCAGGGGGCAGGCACTGTCTGATCCATCCAGAGACCTGCTGGCCCAGGAGCTTGGGCGTGACTCCTCACTCTGGCTCTCTCCTGCTGCTCTCGGCCTCTCATCCTGGTCAGGCACTGGGACCAGGCCTTGAGGTTTGACTAAATGTTTCTCCCCAACCTGCATCTCCCTGAGGCTTGGTTCTCCCTCTCAGAATCTCTCCTTTCTTGGGCTTGAACTCATGACCCCCTCCCCCTCCCAGGACGGATTTCCCAGTAAGACATGGTCTCTGGAAAGGTCCTGTCCCCTTCCTATGTTGATGCCTTCCCAACAACCCCATACATTCAGGTTTGGTCATGGAAGGGAGGGAGAAGCTGGGGGGGGGGGAGGAAGGCTCTGCTAGAGCTAGGGAGACCCGAGCTTGAGTTGGGGTACAGACAGTGGAAGGGAGAAAGACTCAGTGAAGATTCTGAAAGAGTTGCATGTGATACACATGGAAACGGGTGGCCCCTCAGAGGGTGGAAGGGCCTGGCTGGAGAGGGGCAGAATGGCATCCTTCCTCGGCATTTCCTGTCCTTCTCCTTGGGAGAAGGCAGGGTGTAGGGGGTGGTCTTTTCTCCCGGCACCTCCCCTTCTATCCTACCCCCTTTCCCTCGTGGGTTTAATCAGCTCCCCCCCCCCATTACAATAATTAGCTTGCCTTTCAGCCTAGGGACAATACAATGGCAGTCAGGTCTGCTCCTCTGCTTTTTTGTGGAGTTTTTATTGAGTGAAAAATTAGTATGATGATCACAGCAGCTCAGAGCCCCCAGTTAGGAAAATTCCTAACATTCAGGGAGAGTTTTGGCCCTTTGTCCTACCACATGGGGATGGGGTCGCTCTAATTTAAATTTATATTTATCTCTAGCTAATCAGGGGTAGACTGAGGCAGGCATGGTAGCTCACATATGTGATTCCTGCTGCCAAAAAGGCTAAGGCTGGCAATAGCTTGATTTCAAAAGTTCTGAGTTGCACTGGGCTGAGTCCACCAGACAGCATCAGTGTCAGGAATACCTGGGAATAGGGTTTGCCTAGGAAGGGATGAGGTGGCTCAGATCATACACAGAACAGGTCAAAACTCCCATGCTGATTAGTGGTGGACCATGGAGGTGCCCTGTGCTTCTAGCCAGGGTAAAATGGGGAGACTGAGTCCTAGAAAGAAAGGGAGGGAGGGGAGAGAGAGAGAGAGAGAGAGAGAGAAAGGAATGAAGGAACAAAGGAAGGGTTACTGAAGACGGGAGGAGGGGCTGAGCGCTTCTCTTGAGGGGAGGGGAGGCTTGTCTCATTGTGGCACTGTGCCCCTAAATCCTGGCACAATGCATGATAAATATTGATTAGATTGGTTTAGATTGAGTAAAGAAGGGACCTATGAGTTAGATCTGACTTCAATAGGCAAAGATGGTCCCATTCCCAGAAGAACAAGGCACAGAGGGAGAGTCCCCTTCTCACACTGGTCTCTGGGCATGCTCTGATTCAGGAGCTTTTGATTTCTCTTGCTTGGAACCAGCTATCCATCTCAGCTTCCCAGTCATTTCCAAACCACGCTGGGGCCCAAGTACCTAGCCCTGCCCCAGTTCCCAGTTAGGTGCCATCTCTGTAACTGAAGCGTCATCTCCTCAATGGCAGGGTCTTGCCTGCATGTATTTAAATTCTCAGTACTTAGAGAAGCATATGGCACCTAGAAAGGGCTTGACAAGTGCATCCCTCCATCCATCCAGACATATATCCATCCATCATCCATCATCCATCCATCCATCCATCATCCATCCATCATCCATCCATCCATTCCTCCATCCATCATCCATCCATCCCTCTATGATCCATCATCCATCCATCATCCATCCATCCATCTATCCATCCATCCATCCATCCATCCATTCATCCATCCATCCATCCATCCATCATCCCTCCATCATCCATCCACCCACCATCCATCCATCCATCCATCCATCCATCCACCCATCCATTCTGTTTAGTCCTAGAAGGCAGAGCTGGAAGCAATGAGTCAAAACTGAAAAAGTGAAAGACTCAAGTCAAGGAAAACTCTAACAACGCAAGGCATCCCAGAGTGGGCCAGGCTGCTTTAGGGGCTAATGAGCTCCCCTCCCTGGAAGTCTTCCAGGAGAGGCTACAGGCCACTCATTAGGAAGGATGCTTCCAGCTTGTCCAAGAACTGACTGGACGGGGCAGCTTCTGATGGCCTGTCCAGCTCTGAGACTCTGACTCTAGGAGCACCACGTGTTCCTCAGTAAGTGCTGGCTGTCTGATGGCCAGATTCTGGCTCCTGGCTCAAGGCCCAGACAGCTGCCTTACAGCTCTGACATGCACTGCTGGGGATGGGGAAATGACCATGGAGGAGGGACAGTACGTTCTTGGCCTGGCCCAGGCAGGGCCTCAGGCTTCGCAAGGTGCCTTTTTTGGCTACATCATCAAAGGGAAGTCATTAGGGATCCACATCCTGGTCCTGCATTGTGGTGGGCACTTCTGCCTGATAGGTGGCCAGGCCCAGGGACATCTCTCCAGTTCCTTCAGAGGACACAAAACAGGATAAGCTCTCCAGGGCCTTCAGATCTAGCCTCTAGGGCCCTTGGTCCCCAGGCTACCAAAGCACATTTTCCAGCTGTGGCCTGGAAGGCAGGGCAGGAGCAGGGCTTCCTAGTATCCTCCTTCTTCCCCCTACCTTATCCAGGGGTCAGGAAAGGATCTGATAGAGGAATTCACACTCAAGTGTTAATGACTGATAATGGCTTCAGGAAGGAAGCCAGGGCTGTACTCTCACAGAATAACAGAGTCAGTTGTCTTAGAGGTGTCTGCCATCTTTTCTCCTTCAAGGTTAATTTACAGATTTAATTTAGGCAGGAGGGGAGTGAGACCGGTGCCTTGTGCTCCCCCAAACTGGCAGGTGGGAATGGACAGGGACCTGTTCTCTTGCACCTGGAAGGCCAGAACTAGGTGCAAGCAGGGAAGAGCTCCCCAGCCATTGGACCCTGCAGCAATGGGACAGGATGTGGGGGCCACCCAGGGGAATGAGCAGACCTGGGTTCAAATCCCTCCTCTGCCTTTGACTATCTGAGTAACCTTGGGTAAGTGATTTCACCACCTTTGAACTCCAACTCCTCAAGGGTAAAATGAGGGTGTTGGACAAGGCTTAACCCTTCCCTGTCTGAATTTGTGACCCTCTGGCCTGTTGACAGAGTGTTCTTCGGTCTCTGGAAGAATTTAAGCAGAGGCAGGATGACCTGTCATGGAGACTGCAGAGGGAAATCCTGCTGGGCGGCTAGGCTGGCCCAGATGACCAGGGCCTCCTGGCCTCCAGGACCTGGGCTGAGTCCCCTTCAGATGATCTCTGCTATGTAAGCCTAAACAAGGCCCTGAGTGTGCTGATCCCCACACACATGCCCCACACCTACCAGGGTGTTTCTCTCTGCCACATCGTGCTGTGGCCTGCAGGCTGAGGAGTTATGGGGGAGGGGTGCATCCTCCCCAGGTCCCCTCAGAGCTTTCTTGTTTCCACACTCCTCCTGGTGGACGTCCTTCCCTGATTCCCCTCCCCCAGGTTCACAGAATCACAGAAGCTCAGAGATGGAAGGCGCTCCAGTAGCATAAAGTACCACAGTGACCTGATCAGGAATCCCCCTACCAATATCCTATATAAGGGGTCATTCAGCTTCCCTTGGAGATCTCCAGGGATGGGGAACTCACTACCTTATGAGACAGCCCTACCCACTGAGATTTTCTTTGGGCAGAGTCTTCTCAAGGTCTTCCCTTTAGGTTCCCCCATGTGTCCTGCTGTGCTGACCCCTTTCCCCTAATCTCCCACCTCCTTCCCTAATAAATTTTCCCCAGCACACATCCTGGGGTTTCAGTGGGAGTAGGGGAAGTGGGGAGAGGAATGGAGAGAGGAAGAAAGGAGGAGTCCCAGGTTCTCAGAGGCGGCGGGTCAGCTCTGGACCATCCTAGTCATCCTCTAGTCCACATGAAGATCACCTGTGATGGAGCCCCTGAGGAAGCGCCATATCCCAATCTGTCTCAGTTTCCCCTCCGATGGCGGGCACTAGACAAAAGCCAGGAGGCTGTGGGGTGTTCAATATTCATACACCTTTATTTGTTCATGTGATTCCAATACCAATGAGGCAGTGGTTGCCACACAGGCAGAGACAGGGGACCACCGCCTGGAAGTGAGGAAGAGAAAGGGATAGACCGCAAGGCACTGGTTCTGCCCCCAGCCGTATGGTCAGGAAGCTCCAGGGGTACCTGGGGAATAGACACTCAATCACTCCATCCCTAGAGAGTGAGGAACCTCAGGCTCTAGTCCCTGCCTGCCCCAAACTCCCTGGGCACCTGGTCTCAATGGCCTCATCTGTCCAATGGGCAGGATCACCCCTGTAGTATATATGTGAAAGTGCGTAGCAGCAAAGGGAAAGACTGTGGCGGCTGGGATGCCACCCCACCCCTGGGTCCTGGACTGAGTGTCTCCATCTCCTTCAGGATGCCTAGGCATGCGGAGGCCTGGCTGCTGGCAGAGAGGGTGGGCATGGAGGCAAGGGAAGGGGAGGGTCCAGGGCATCGACCCCACTTGGGGTCCCAGCTCCTGTCTCTTGGGGCCATTGTCTACCCTGATGGAGCTCCCTGTCTGCGGGCTGTGTAGACCCTGCTGGAATGTTGGTGGGAAGGGAGCAGGAGAGGGACCAGCCTGAGCGGGTAGTTGTCTTGTCTCTACAGCTGGTGTCCCTGACTGAGATAGCCCCACCAGGCCCTAGGGTGACCCGGACCGGCTCCCAGCAAACAGAAGGGCACTGGGGCATGGCCAGGGTTATCCAGGCCTGCTCTGGCCTAAGGCTACAGAACAGAAGCCCAGGCAGAGTTGGTGCCTCAGGCCTCAGCACACTTCCACCGGCAGAAATTCTCTATGCAATTCAAGGGGAAAAAAAAAAGATGCTTTGACAGGATTATTTCCTGAGGGCTTAATGAAGACCTCAAGGATCATGTTGGGTGGGGAAGGAGTGGGCACATCCTCTGCCAGAAGCCTCAGGATGCAGACCCCACTTCTGGTCCTCAGCTCTTCTCCAATCTACACTCTCTGTATTCACAAACTCCTGTGTCATTACTGCTGTAAGATGTTTTGGAGGGCGACTTATCCAGTGCACCCATTTCACAGATGGGGAATCTGACACCCCTCAAAAGGTAGAATTTGGAGCAGGTGTCAGGGTGGGGGAGACAATTGGGGGCAGAAAGCTTTGCAAGTTCCCCTCACATCGTGTGGCATAGACAAATAGCTCAGCTGCCTCGCCCTAGAATCCCCTTGGAAACCTCAGTCCAGGGCCCCAGGGAGGCTGCTTTGAGGTGCTCCCTTCCCTCTCTCGTGTCCCACTCTTGGGGAAACAAGCACCAACATGGGGACTCCAGGCACCCAGCTCGAGAAACAGGAGGCAAGGAAAGAGAAAGAAAGATGCTGAAACACCCCAGGAGCCCAGGCGCCCTGGGGGGTCTGCCGGATGTCTCCGAGTCAGGGGCTTGTAGAGTCTATAACATAGATTGACATCTTCCCCCAGCCCCCGCCCTTGCCCCCCTCCCGCCTGCCCATCAAGCCCACCCCTCCCCCACTCCGCGGAGGCTGCCTCTACTTTGGCTTCATCTCCACCCTGGAGTTCATGTCCTCCGCGTCCAGGTCGTACTCCTCCACCTCCCCGCTGGTCCAGACTTTCATGCGGTCCGTGAGCTCGCTGCTGCGTGGGGCCAGGATAAAGTCGTAGATGAGCGCAGCCAAGGCACCCCCGATGAAGGGCCCCACCCAGAAAATCTGGAAGAGGAGGAAGAAAGCTTCAGAGAGGCAGCAGCTGCCCCCAAATGAGCTGTTATCCCCATTTCACGGACCAGGACACTGAGGCCCAGAGACTGAAAGCAATTTGCCAAAGACACTCAGGGAAGGTGTGGGGGGGCGAAAAGGCATTCCCCACCTTCACCTCAGGGCCTGGCACAGTCCACATTGAGGCCTCCCTCTGTCCACCAACGCGCGAGAGCAGCCCAGCTCCCCAGCAGACCGCAAGCCACCGCCACCTCCTCTTTCTCCTTCTGGCGCACGGTCACCCAAGAAGCCTGTCCATCCCCTTTCCCCAGAGAGTGAGGCCGAGACTCCACATGCTCACCCAGTGGTGCTCGAAGTTGTTGGCAATAACCGCTGAGCCGAAGGAGCGCGCAGGGTTGATGCCGCAGCCGGTGTAATCAATCTGCGGGTCAGAGATTGTGCGTGAGGGATGGGGGTGGGGGGTGGGGGGAGGGATGTACAAAGGACAGGGGGAGGGAGGGAGAAGACAGGTACGGAGAGTGGAGGCAGAGAGGGAGGTAGAAATAAGAACCCAAGAAAGAAGTAGAAAGACTTGGAGATGGAGAGACGGAGAAGAGGAAGACGGGGATAGAGGAGGAGGAAAACAGAGGGACCAGGAAAGAGAAAGAACGTGGGCCCGGATGCTCCCCAACCTGGGGCCCGACAGCGTTGTTGTCTCTTGGCTCTGAGGAGCTGCCTTCCGGAGGAGGACCTGTCCAGGAGGTCGTCAGGACATTTCAATGGTTTGCGCTATCCCTCCACCCTCTGGGGGCCATGGGTATTCGGGAGACCCTTGGCCCACTCTTCACCTGAGCGACCGTACCACCAGCTTACCGCGAGGAGGTGGCCCAGGGCAACAGAGAGGCCGATAGCCAATGGAGCGGAGCCTGTGATGTCATGGCGCCTGCGGTCCGTGGTGGCCAGTACACATAGCACCAGCTGCAGCGTGCCAATAATCTCGATGCCCAGTCCCTGGCCTGAATTGACTCCCTTGGCGAGCTGTGAGGGAGAGAAGACAGGGCAGAACAACCTAATGAGTGGGACTTGAAGCTGGGGAAGCCTGTTTCCCATACTCCTCTCGGATTCCTCCCACCCACCCATTGCCATCCCATATTCTCCTAAAGCCCCCCAGGGCTGCCCCAGAACCATTCAGTCCAGCTTTGATCCCCACCATGAATCGTGGCTCCCCTCCCCCCCTCCGCCAGGATGCAAGATATACCACAGGGCGTCAGGGACAGGGAAGAAGCCCTCTCCGGGCCCAACCCAAGCTCCTGGCTTCACGTCCGCATTATTCTGGGTGCCCCAACGGGGCTCCACCAAACGCCTCCTCTTTTTTCAAGCCCCAGCCTCAGCTCCATCCCTCTGGCCTCCGGCTGCACCGAGAAAATCGCCATTTGCTCTTTGAGGCTGGGGGCAAAGCACCTTCTGCCGCTAAGCCTCAGTTTCCCCTTCTTTCAAGTAAGGGCATTGGCGGAATTGGCCGCCAAGAGGTTTCCCCGACTCTAATTCTATTCTTAAAAAGACACGAGCGTCTGATGTTGCGCCTCTGGTACCACCCACTCTGTCCTTGGACTCCTGCCTTCTGGCTTCCCTGCTTGTCACTCCACGGAAACTTCTCTCTCCACCGACTGGTTAACCACCAAGAGCCATAACTTTCCACAGTCCTACCCCTCCTCACAGCTGGGGGCGTTTGGTCTCTGGTCTCCCCTTCCCTTGGCCTGAGGCAGGACTAAGGCTTTTCTGACCACTCCTCCTCGGAGTCCTCCCCCGGAGCCCTGTGCCTGGCCCTGCACCTCAATGGGGCCAGTCCCTCTCTCCCCCTATCTAGCCTCAGTCTCTTTGCTAAGCTCCTAGCCTGTATCTCCAGGACATCTGGAGCACTTGTCCCATCAGGCACCTTGGTCCAGGCCAAGCTCATTCTCTTTCTCACCTAGACCTGTCCCTCCCTCTGACTTGATTATCCCTGTCGGCCACTATTCATTCACCTCCTGCCTCTAGCTGGAAGCTTCAGGACTCCAAAACATTGTTAGGGGGATACGATAGGTTCCTTCCTCTGCTTCTCATCCCATGCTGGCCCCTGGGCCTGGAGACCACTCTCCCTTCTCTGCCTGTGGAACATCTTCCCCACCCTTTGAAGGCCACCTTGTCCATGAAGCCTGCCATGGGACTCTATCTGCCCTGACCTCCCTTCCCCCTCACACACTTACTCTTTGATGTCATCATGTCATAGCCCTGGACTAGACCTTGGCTCCATGAGGAGAGAGGCCAGGTGTGAGCTCAACTTTGGGGCTTTCCCAGCACTGATGGCCTTGGCACAAAAGACCTGCTTAAGAAATGTCTTTGCCAGTGGCACTGACCAGGCTGATGTTCACCCATTCTATCTCATTTGTAACCAATGCCTTTCTCAAGGCCCATCACAGGCTTGGGATCAGCATGACCAGGGCACCTGCCCTTTATGTTCTGTCGAGGCTTTGATGAAAGACGAGGGAGCAGGGAAGACCAGAAGCACCCACGATTCCCAACTGAGCCCTGCACCCGGCCCTGCAGGAGGGAAACTACAGGCCCCATGTCCTAAGCCTCTCCCCTATCAATGGATTCACTTGTGACTTTGGGGGCTGGCTCATCCTTGGATTGGGCAGCTGGGGGTGCCACAGTGCCCGGAGTGCCAGGCGTGGAGTCAGGAAGACTCATCTTCCTGAGTTCAAATCTGGCTTCAGACACTGACTAGCTGTATGACCCCAGGCAAGTCACTTTACCTGTTTGCCTCAGTTTATACATCTGTAAAATGAGCTGCAGAAGGAAAGGGCAAACCACTCCAGTATCTGCCAAGAAAAAAACCCCACATGGGGTCCGGAAGAGTCAGACCCAACTGAAACAACTGAGTAACCCATCCTTGGATAGTCCAAGGGTGGCTGGGGAGAGGCCAGAGCAGCCCTCTGGCGGGCAGGAGGGAGGGGGGAGGGGCCGCATCCAGAGCCAAATGCACAGCGCTTCTGATAAAACTGGTGTCTGAGGCTGGGGACTGGAAGGGCTATCTGCAGCCAGCAGAGAAGCCCAGGAGCCCAGAGGGAGAGAAGAGGCTGAGCTCATCTGGGTGGGGACAGCTCGGAATCCATCTGTGGGGTGGATCAGTCTGTGAAGGAGAGAGGCGGGAGGGGCTGAGCAGAGAGGCAGGGGAGGCCACCTGAAGCCAGGTCCCTGGCCAGGGAGCTGTCCACACCCCACCCATTTCCTGAGGCTCCCTGACCCCTGCCCTCACCTTCCCATCTCTCTGTCTCTGTTCTCTGTTTCTGTCTCTGCTCTCTCTTTCTCTTTCTGTTCTCCATGTTTTCTCATTTTTTTGTTGTCTTTGCTTCTCTTCTCTCTGTCTCTCTGTCTGTCCTCTCTCTGTGGTCTTTTCTCATGTCTCTATCTCTTTCTTTTGTCTCCCCTGTCTCTGAGCCATATAGGAAATGGAGTCTGGCTGGCACTCACTGTGCCCTGGTTACTTTTAGAAACATGAATCATGGAAAGCAGGAGGGAAAGTTTAGCTGCTGTGAGCTCATTAGGGCTGGTCCCCTGTGGCAAGGCAGGACCCTCCCAGCCTGAGCTCCATCCTGGCCCAGGCTGGGTCCATTCCCAGAGACAAGTGTAGGGATGGAGGTATGGACACTCCCACCTGGAATGGAGAGGCAAGGCTGTGGGGAAGGAGGAGCTCAGTGTGCCTTCCCTCCCATGCAGGAGCTGACCCGTCCATCAGGTCATCCATCCTCATCCATCTCCTGCCTGGTCTTGGGTGGTCACAGAAGCAGCCCAGTCTACACTGCCTCGGTTCTCTGGGGACAAGGGGGGCAAGTCAGCCTCCCCCTAGGATGCTTCCACACCACTAGGCTTTCAGAGGAGGAGATGCCTGGGCTCTGGGACAGGTCACCTAGCCTCCTGAGTTAGAGTCACCTTTCCAAACAATTCTCTTCCCCTCTTTGTTGGGCAGCCATGACTCACATCCCTGTCATTCATCAGAGCCCTGGATGGGAAAGGCTCTGCCTTCCTCCTCTGGGGCCAGCCCCAAGCTGCTCTCTCAGGCTTCTGCCTCTGCCTTTGCCTGCGCTTTGGCCCAGGGTCTGACCTGCTGCCCAGACTCCCTCCTCACCCATCAGCCAGGGGAGCTTCACCCCTGGGACAGGGAGGGGTTCAAGAGGAGGCAGAGGGAATGTTGCTCAGAGCAGAGGCAGGGCCTTGCTACCACTCTGGACTTGATCGAGTAGAGATAGGGAGCCCTTAATGGCCCTTGAGTAGGTGTGTCCCCAAAGAGGCAGCCTGTGTTCAGGAGGTGGCCCCACCCCCCTCTGCTTGCTTTGTGATTTCCCAGGTTTAATCCCTGGTTGGGAGGTGGGCTAGGGGGGACGGCTTTCTGCCTCCTCCTCATCCTTTCTATTTCTTTCCTCAGAAATGACTGTTATCAGCCTGCCTGGAGCCTTTCTGTCCCTTGATACCACTCAGGCCATTGGCCCCAGCTGGAGACAACATGGCTCAGTTCTTCCGGCTGCCCAGCCTCCCTCCTCTGGGCTCAGGGACCTCACTAATGGCCCTTTAGTCCCAAGGCTTCCACCACCAAGACTACAAGCAGCCCTTTCTCAGTTCCTAGCCCAGCTTCACCCTTGCAGCCCCCACCCAGACCCATGTCCCACTGGCATGTCCAGCCAGGCTGCCTCTCCATCCCCTGTGACTTAAAGCCCATTGTCCCCTCCTCCAGGAAGCCTCCCCTGAACTTCACGGTGGGGGAATTCTACCTGGGGGCACCGGTAGAAGACCTCCCAAGGAGTATTTCCCTCTCCTGTTCTGTTGAGGAGAATTCATGAGGAAGAGTGGGCAGAGCTGCTCTGAGCAGTGGCTGGGTCCACATGTTAAGAGGATGGACAGATGGTGCCTCTGCCACAAAGGGGGCAAATTTGGCCAGGACAGGCATGGAAGGGAGCCCCCTCAAGGTTGGGGCGAATGCTGCAGAGGGGCCGCATCCGGATAATGACTCAAGAAATAGCCCCAGATCCCAGGTTTCATTTTCCTGACTAGTAATGCTGAGAGTAGGGGCTGCAGGACCATAATTCCAGGCTTCTGATGCCCTGGTGTGTGGGGCAGGGGGAGAGCATGGAGCACCACCCTCACCTCTGACAATGGGTGTGCAGACGGGCCTGCTGCTTGGCTGGTATTCTGGCAACTTGGGTTGCAGTGCTACAGGTGAAAGCGACCAACCCGGTGCCCCATTGTCTGTGCCAACAGCACCACTGGTCCAAAGAGTGCACAAGAATTGAGGTTCCCACGTGGTTAATGGGGCACACTCTGGAGCCACCACCCTGACTGCAGTGGGGGTCATCTGCCAGGGCATTGTGACCCCGAGCCTCTCTCTAAGATGGTCAAGGAGCCCCATCCACCCGGCCAACAGGCCTCTCTTGCTCTGATCCACCTTGCCCTGTGTGGCCAGCCAGCCGGGCTAACAGTCTTCAGCCAGCCCCCACACCACAGGCTGCCTCAAGTTTTGGCAAACCCCACTCCCAGCCCAGGACTGCTCCTGCACCTGGGATCCCGGCTGGTTCTAAGGCTTCTGTACCCTGGGGGACAATAAGTGGGAAACATTTGTCCCCTGCTGCTTCATCCAAGCCCTATCAAGGGTGGCTCCTTACGTACAACAACATTAATTAATACCAACATGAACAACCTCACATGAGGTTGTAGGGCAGATACTGTTTATCCCCATGTGACAGATGAGGAAACTGAGAGCCTGAGAAGCGGTGGCCTCTTGAGGTCCATCGGAGGAAGGACAGCCGTGGAGGTTGGGCAGAGGGGGAGGGAGACTTCCCAGGCGACACTGGAGGCGGCCAGCGGCAGCCCTGGCTCTCCGGCCGTTCTGAGGCGCTAATATTTTCCTCAGTGCTCAGAGGGTGGGGCAAATCCTGGTGCTGGGAGACGCCACAGGACAATCCTAAACTCTGGGAGGCCTGTTTTCTAAGAACAGAGAAGATGCC